AGTCTCATCTGTTGTCATTTTGTTGGTACAACCACAACCAATTGGTTTGACTGCTCCAACAGATTTTACATCATGTTGGCATTGCATTGCCTCTGATCATTAATGTCATGAGGGGCGGGAGGGGACATCAGAGAAGTTCCGTTTAGATGTGGTGTCCTGGAAGCTGCCCTAAAGGAGAATTCTTTTGACGCATATGGAAACTTCTTCTTACCCCAGATGCGCCAGTGAGAACTGTCTTCTCTGCCCCTAACTGAAACGTACTGGTCATGGGCAACCTCCACAGCATCCTGTAATTCCATCTTTCTAAGAATATATCCCAGAAAGGACCCAAACTCGAAGTAGAAGAAAGTCCAGAATTGACAACCCTCAAAATCTACTTCATATATTCTAAAGCTAAAATACTAAATGCAGTGAAACATTTTGTGTGATGTAGCTCAGCGGACTGTCTCAGGAAAATCACCACTCATGGGTCTTCTTAATAAATGTCATTTCAGGGGTGCCTGGGTGGCTCAGTCATTGGGCTTCTGCCTTCAGCTCAGGTTATGGTCCCAGGGTCCTGGGATCAAGCCCCGCATCAGGCTCCCCGCTCGGCGGGGGGCCTGCTTCTCCCTCTCCCGCTCCCCCTGCTTATGTTCCCTCTCTCGCTGTGTCTCTCTCTGTCAAATAAATAAATAAAATCTTTTAAATAAATAAATAAATGTCATTTCACTTGAAATGTGAGACACCTGCATCTTCAGACACCTTGCAGGTCTATCTGATGGAGCCCGTGTGAGAATTCAAGGGAACCGAGTTTGGTTTCTTGCTCTGCCCAACTTTTGTCTTGCCTTCCTGTCCTCCTCTGAAGATGGGGGTGATGGCACAAGCAGTCTCCCTTATGGGATTTTGGAAGGAGGCAGGGTAGATGAGGTAAAGCTGCTTTGTACCTGAACTACCCCCTGCTGGTGGCGAAGCTCTCAGGAACTGGTCTGGGTAACGGATGGCTATCTATACAGAAGAAGCTCCAGGGGTACCCCCTCCCCTGATAACACCGACTCCATTGGAAGATAGCTTTGTGGACTCACCAAGAAATCTGGAAGAGTAAATTAGTGTGAGTGTTGTTTGGAGAGTTTTGTGACAACCCTCTTAAAGCATCGATATCAAAGGTGAAATTCACCATTGTAGATACTTCAAGATAATGACACCCCTAATAATGTCTTCCGTGTATATGGTCTTACACAAATTGCAGAGCACCTTCATATGCCTTATCTGGCTAATTCTCATGTCTGCCTTGAGGATGCAGGAAGGCTGTGATATTCTCATAGTTCAGATGAAAGACCCAGGACCCAGAGAAGCAACTTGCCCGTGATGACAAAGGTGGCTCATCTGTCCTCTGTCTTTCCTTTCCATCCTCTTTTAAAAGCTTGCCTACTTTCTCCATTGCACTGTTCTGTCATATTTTTTTCCCTATGCTTTGCTAATGATTGTCAGTTCCACTCCCATTACTTAGGTAAAACACCTGCTTGTATAATTGCCAAATTAAAAAGAATGTCATGAATACATCTGACAGTTAGTGTTATTCACTAGTTCCCTTCTGCTTCATAGATTCCTGTGAGTTTGGGTTAATTAAGCCGAGTTCTATTTTTGCTAGCAAGTGGGTGATCCTTTGGGTTGAATTAACAGCGGAGTTATCCCTGGGCTGTGATTAGTGACAGAGCGTCGGGAAAGCCTCAGTTCCTTCCCCCTTAGAGCACGAGATGGCCATGCAGGGCTCCTAGATGTGAACAACAAGACTGTACATGAATTGCTCTTGACCGTATTTTTGCATCATCCTCTGCTCCTGTTGAAGGTACATGACCGATGGTGGACTTGGCCTCTACACTCGTCGCCTGAACCGGCTCCCCGATGGGATGGCTGTGGTGCGGGAGACCCTGCAAAGAAATACCTCCCTGGGCCTTGGCGATGCTGACAGGTAAGTTTGCTCCACTTGAGACTGACCAGGTGCAGAACTCATTTCAGAGTGGCCTGAGAAGTGAGGGTATGATACTGAGAACGACGGGCACTGCCGTGACCCACGCAGGGGGTGAGAGGCCTTGACGCCACACCTGGGGTCAGGAGCTGGCTCAGCAGGTAGGAGAGCGCTGCCAAAGGGTTCTTGAGTCCTGCTTCTGGTTAGGGTGGCGCTTCTGACAGCAAGAATAGAGGGAATTCAGGCTTGCGTAATTTGGGATGTTGTTTTGACTGTTGCTGCCTGTATCTTTGTCAATTCCCCGGGCCCCAGGGATCTGCTTTACTTCCTCTGTTAGCCAGCTTTCTAGGTACTGGACTTGGGAACACAGTCCCTGGTGATGCACAGAAGGCCTGGGTGCCCAAGGGAGTGCTCCTGGCCTTGGCTGAGCAGGCTTCACTGTGGGTCTCCTGTGGCCTGGCACTGGGAAGCAAGGCTTAAGGATGTAGTTTATACAGCACATGCTGAGGACCTGACATGACAGCACTTGACTGGTCTTCATTACAGCCCACGTCAGAGATGAAAAGAGCTTCAGAGAACATTACAGTCTAGAGGGCTATTGGGTAATCCTTACTCTGGCACAAACGGATTCTATGGCCTTGAGCAATCTATTAAAGAAGGGGTTCAGACTATATGATTTCCCAGATCCCTTCCAGCTCTGATGTGCTGTATTTCTAGATTTCAATACCCTTTAATGATCTGACTGTTGAATTATTTTGCTGGTATACTTGACCTCTTTCCCCATGTGTGTTGATGAGACAGAACACGGAATTTAGATGTGTGTGCTTGAAGTCACCATACCTTTTGGGGTGCTAATCCTCATGGGCCAGAAAGCCACATATTTGCAGCACAAAGCCAGCTTCTTGCTGTTCTCTTAGCTGGATATAGTTTTTACAAAGAGCTAAGTGATGTCTGTGGTTCTCTGGCTTAAGAGAACTAGGGCACGCTGACTAGGGCACGCTGAAGTTACCCCCAGGAATGGAATTTGCTCAAGAGGAATCTTCATCTTTTCTCTGGGAAGACTGAGAAGACTGTGCTGGTGTGGAGAACACCGAATTAGTTGTCAGAAACCTGGAAGCTGGCCCAGGCTCTGCCACGAACTTGAATTTGCCCTTCTCAGAGTCTCCCAGGGCCCAGGGTGGTGATTTATGCCGGAGGTGACAAAGGCTCTTCACCACAGTGTCAGCTCAAGTCAGCTTTCTTCCTGTAATTAATTTGTTTAAAAGTATTGGTTTGAGAATTCCATAGAAAGGTGAACCACTTAAGAACTGCTCTTTCTTTTTTTTAAGACTGCTCTTTTTAAATTTTTTTTTAAGATTTTTTTGTTTTTTATTTGACAGAGA